CGCGGAAAACCGTATTAATTGTCACCGGCTGTTCTCTGACGTTTTGACAAACGTGAAACCGGCACATCTATATTTTAGATCGTGGCAGTTGTGCAAAACATGCAATAAACTGCGCGCTATTAGCATCAGTCATGGTGAATTTAGGTCGCGAAGCAAACCATAAACATCTCCAATAGAATACGTTTTAAAAATGAGAAGCACCATTCTATATCAGGAGCTCGAACGTACCGATGCTCGAGAACGTCTCGCCGAGATGATGATGGTGCTTGCAATGATGCTTAACAAGTAAGAAAAACAGACAGAAAATCGGCAGGATTCAGAGCGGAAGTGTGTAACGAGGTGAATATATTGTTGGACAACGTTGGTTCGAAGATGTGATTTGTTCTTGGAGTGTTAAGGTACTAACTTCTCCTAATGATTGTCTTCACGACCACGTACATGCGTAGTGCGTATCTGGCTGATACCAACGAACCCTGTAGTTAGACAGCCTGAAGAAGTTGTCTAGGCGAACAGCACGCTACCGTTTGTCAGGAGGGAGGGAAAGATATAGGCGGTGGTGCACTTTGGCAACGGAGCCCATTCCCTACTCCGCCGCCTGCGAAGGTAACGGCTCTGGATAGCTGCGTAGTAACTGGGCGAACAGACGGCAACTTAACTTTGCTAAGGCTCCTTCCTTTAAAGGAGCCAAGGTTTTCCCCGTCATGTCGCCTCCACATGGGAAGGTGCGGTCGGCGACAGATCGGGGTTTAGCAGGCACTCACTGAAAGCGAGGCCCATGTCCCCATCGTTCCAGCTACCTGGGTTATTATGTTTGGCCCATACCATAAGGCACACAGCGGAGGGGCAGAGAACTCCGGTACCAAGGATGGCATAAAGCCGGCCGTTGTAATGCGAGTTTTGACGTCGGGATTAGACGGCCGAAAGACTTTATCGCAGCAAACGCAGTTATGGTATAAACAATAACAACATGTAACGTATTCGAAAACTCTTGCCGTCAATAACCCCCCCCCCCAGAATACCCCAACAGCGGTTATCGTAAGGTCACCAGCTCCGCACACGACTTCTGGCGCTCCAGGGATGACCAAGCTATGCGGGCTAACGGGAATCCAGCGAGTGCGCGCGCCAACGACTTCTCAGCCCCCACCCACCCACCCCTGATGACGCGACTAAGCGTAGAAGGCGGTACTCCAAAGATCATGCACAATGCGTTGCTTTGCATTGTACCTACGATAAAAGCAAGTAATAAACCCAATACTTGGTGATGTTCTTGTAGCACCCGCTTTAAGGATGGTGTTTTGGGATGCTATAGAACAGGGAATCTTTCCAAGAGAAGTATGAGGGACTTGCTGATTCAAAACACAATAAAGGTTAGATCTGAGCAGTCTTGACTCTGCCACTGAAGGCGCTAAAAGGGCAGCACTTACCGACTCAGACTCGTCATGTTGATTTGGTAGAGTTTTTTTTGCGTTGAGCCAAAAATTGATCCAAGACGCCCACACTGGTAGCGATAGACATCCAACAATCAAGTAGTGCCGGACACGCAAGAGCCTCTCCCTCTCGTGCCGCAAGTACGCCAGGTACAGACGCCGCGAAGTTCGCAAAGTCTGGCAGCCCAACGTTTCCTCGTTGACATTAGAGCGGTGCCTACAAACCATCCGATGTTCTCTTCGATTCAACCTATGTGCAGTTTCCAGACTGCAGCCAAACCAGAAACAAATCGTGGAGGCGAGATCAAATTTGGCCGTGCGGCTCTTTACATCGCGTGATATCTTTACATTTGGCTATCGCATTTTAAAATGTTGTCCGGGCTGTTACCCCCCTCCCCCTCCCCCCATTCGGTTATGCATTCACAACTTCATATATTTTGTACCAGCGAGACGGAACACATAGGTTAGTTTGATTATGGTTTTGGGGACATGAATCCTGGTTAATAAGCAAAATTACACCTAACCACATCATCAAACCTGCGTACAAACTGACGCTCAGCACAAGTTTGGTGTGGGATTTGGAAGGCGCCCATTGCTCCGAGCTTTAGTTGAATACAAACAAAAACGTTGGTTTTCTCGGCCTACAGGGATAAGATTTTACTCTCTCCAATCGCCTCCATAGCAGCCTCACATGCAGCCACATACTCAGCTTCAGCAGAGGACAAGGCCACAATGGACTGTCGTCTCGACATCCACGAAATAGCACCACCAGCCAATGGGAAGACGAATCCTGTCGTGCTTTTCCGAGTTTCTGGGTCATTGGCCCAGTCACTGTCACAATGTCCTTCGAGTGCTATAGCCTTCGACTTCATCTCTTGTCGATCGTAGGTTACTCCATAGTTCACAGTACCAGCAAGATAGCGTAGGACACGTTTTAATGCACCAACGTGCTTACTTGATTGATTTGCTACAAATCTACTCAACTGGCTCAGTGCAAATGCCAAATCAGGACGTGTACTTGTTGCCAAGTACATCAGCATACCCACAGCTTCATGGTACGGGAAACTAGTGTCGCTAGTCTCGCCTTCCTCCAACGGGACAAACCGGGCCTTCACTTCCATGGGATTTCCCACAGCATGAGCTTCACCGTAGCCAAACTTCTCCAAAATTTCGTGTGTGTACTTTGTCTAAGTGATTGTAATCTGCTCCTCTGTCTGATTAACTTCAACCCCAAGATATGCAGTCAGTAGTCCTTGGTCCTTTAGTCCATACTCTCGGTCCAATGCTTCAAACAACACATTCTTGTTTTCCTCATCCTTGCTCGCTACCACAATATCGTCCACATATACAAGGACAAGTATAACATCTTCCCCATCAATGCGATAGTACAGACAGGGTTCGGTTAACGATCGTTGATATCCACGAGCAAGAAGCCACTGGTTAATCTCAGTGTTCCACTCACGACCCGACTGCCTCAACCCATACAACGCTTTGGTCACCACACACATGTGGCCATCCACTTCACACGGAAATCCGTCAATTGACGTCACGTACAGCAGGATTCCAAGTAGTGCATTGAGATATGCCGTATCAACATCCCCTCCGTAGAGCTTCAGGTTCAGAGCCGCAGCTAATGCCACTAAAAGCCTAAAAGAAGACATTCGCGCCACCGGCGAGAACGTATCAGTGAAATCCACTCCTGGTCTCTGGTAGTCGCCAAGAGCAACTAGTCGAGCTTTGAAGCGAATCACAAAACCCTGAAAATC